TGTGAGATAATATATATATATATATATATATATATATGTGTGTGTGTGTGTGTGTGTGTGTATGTGGGGGGTGCAAAAGAACACCTAATATTAAATTACTAGGGTTGTTGTTGTCCTAAAGGACATTCCTTGACTAATTAACTACCATTAGATTTTTAATCCCAACAAGAGTTGACCATTGTGTAATAATTCCATCCTCATTTTACATTTGTCCCCCTCCCCCTTTTCATCTTTTTTTTTTTCTCCTAAATATGTCATAAATTAATGATAATTCTTTATATGTTTCCGTTGCTTTTACAAATTGAGTGAACTTGTGGATCCGCATTGACTGATATAGCAACTACTTCATTAGGTAATTCTTGTAATTGTTTATACCTATTGGGATTCATAGAGAATTATGTAGATGAGATAGATTTATCTATTATATAATTATATTTATAATAGAATTAGTATCAACGTCCTAATAGAATTTGATCGGAATTTTTTCTCTCTCCAAATTTACCGGATCTTAGAACCAACTAGATGTTAAAAAAAAAAACCGGAGAAACCCATGTATGTTCCTCCTCAAATGGAGATTCAAACATGGGTTAGGAAGAAATTTTGATCCATCCCTTGCTGGTTTTGGCCATTTTCTAATGGGATTAGGTTTTGGTAAAGGCTTATTTAGGCAAATCTTAACAATACCATATATAGATAGTGTATTAAATTCAAGATTAGAATATAAATGGCGTGGTCCAATCGTGATCAAAATCTAAATTGCGTCTACGGTTCAAATGTTATGATGGGTAGTTTGTTTTCCTCCAAATGATGAGGTGGAAAAATTTCCATACCGATATTTGATTGGACTGTCGTCATACCATAAGGTGCTTTTATTTTTATTTTTTGTAGGTTATGAGTGTAGATATCCAAAAAAACTACCAATTGCTAATTAACGATGTTATTCCACGAGCGTGCATGAAAGTGAAAGTTACACTGTTACATATTGATAATTTGTTTTTCACGTCCCAATTATGGCACGTTCTTGATTTTGCTTAGGGTTTGGATATAGAAACGTATGCATGAGGTTGTGTTTTCTTTATAATGATTATATTATATGAAGTCTTGTTATAGATCCATTAGTTTCATCAACACCTTATTCTTCAACACCCAATTTGGATAGCTCAACCGGTGAAATGAGAATGCAAAATGTTTATTCCGCCCCGAATTCGAATCTCAAATTGGGGTGAAAAATGCATATTATAATTATATTGTTTACTCTCGACTTCAAAATTAGTCTGGACCTCGGTCCATCCGATTACCTAAAAAAATCTTTATTCTTTATTATATATACTTCAAAATTGGACCGATCAGAATATCTATTTTTTGTTATTTTAACATTTGGATTTTTTTTAGTTTAAGAAATTTTATATTCATTTAATTTTTACAATTGAGTTTCAATTCGATTCATATTCTCTTTAGTTTTGATTCGAATTCGATTTTTTTTTATCAAAAGTATCAATATTTTAAAATAATTTCACTCTGATTGAGGGGTTTTAATCATCTTTATATTATTTGTTTTTGGATTCAGTTATCCTTCATTTAATCGAGTTATCTAATGATAACCAATCAATATTTAGATAAAATTCGATTCAAATATCATTATATATTTTTTTTTTGATAATCTGGAAGTTCACCGGATTTTGGTCCGACTACATTTTTCAGAAAACCGGAGAAGTCCACGCGAATACCCCTTCCTAAGTGAGGATTCGAATTTGGATTGAGAAAAAGTTTTGCTTTCTTTTTTTATCAGTTGAGAGACTCAATTTTGGATTTATTATACATTTTTGAATAACTCAGCCTAATTATCCGTCCTAATTCTACCTAGGGCTGGACGTTTCGGTTCGGTTCTTCGGAACCGAACCGAACCGAACCGAACCGAAAAACGGTACTTTTACCGACCCGAAACTGTTTTTAATTCCCGAACGGTACCATTTTTAGAGAACCGAATTTTTCCGGAACCGATACCGAACCGAACCAAACTTTAAAAAATCCCAAAAAACCGAATATTTTTAAAGGAAATCTATCATTTTTTTAATAAAACCAGAACCGAACCGAAACGATACCGAACCGAACCGAATACAATATAAAAACCGATTGGTACTTATTTTTATAAAACCGAAAGAATCGAACCAATCTCTTTCCGTCCCGAACCCGAACCGTTTCCAAACGCCGACTCCTGATTCTACCTACCATTTGAATTTCTTATCTTGCTAGGGTTTTTTTTTTCCACGATTCCGTATCCAATAGTTGTTATGACAAAACTTCCATTAAATGAAAATATAAGGCATGGACGCACACGTACACGATTATTTTATTTATAAAATTTATGAAAGTTTAGATTTTTGGCGTTGAGTAGTTACCTGCCGACGCGTTTTTCTATTGAATGAAAAAATCAAAGTCTATTTAAAAAAAATAAAGATTTCGAAATTGAGGGGAAAGATCTCTTGAAACCGACAGACACGGTCCAAAAACATTTCATCTTATTTTATAATAAGGTTACATTTAATCAACGTTTTGTCCCTTACTGTTCATTGGATTGTGCTGCTAATTTTCCCATTATAAAATCATAAATTTAAATTATTTAATTATCTCTAATAATTTTTAATATAACAACCCATAAATACAAATAAATTGGGTGTGTATGCATACCTAAATACAAATATATATATATATATATACATGCATACACACACTTTTTTGTATTTATGGGTTGTTATAGTATTTGCCATTAAACCTATGGTTATATATTCGTGAATTTCGGTCAAAGGGAATTAAATGTGGACAATGTTATTTGTTACATATTTTTTCTATATATATATATATATATATATATGTTAGGGCTAAAATAAGAAACTTTGGTTATATTGGGTTATCCAAAGATTCTTATTACGAGGTTTTATAAAGTTACAAAAAAAAAAAAAAGACAAATAAAGATGCACGTTCTTCTCTCATCATTTATCAAATTCATCGTGACATCATGCACACGACAGAGGCTGGACGAAAATCTATTTTTTTTATTACTTTAATATTGGATATTAATTGAAATCCAATAATTTCGAACTTTGGACCAACAAAGCAAGGCTACAATTTGTGTTCACTTTTTTTTTTTAAATTACAAATTGCGAATTTAAAATTTATTTTTAAAATCATGGGGTTTTGTGACTGGTTAATATATATATTTTTTAAAACAAATTCACCAAAAATGACATAATTAAGGGGAATATATTTCAGAAAAAAAAAACCATAAACACAATAATTATGAAGTTTACATGCACGAAATGAATACAAGTGAAGTGATTCGTACTTTTGAAAGCTATGGGCGCCTTTTGTTGTCTTCCCATAACACGACGCGCATGCATGTGGTTTCTTTCCGCTTTATTTATCGACAACAGACGACACGTCCACTACATGTATATATATATATATATATATATTAATTATAGGGTATTTTGGAGAGTTAGACTTATCTATTATGAAATTATATTTCTAATATGATTAGTGTTCTAATAAGATTCATATATATATATATATAGTACGTTAACAAGACACATTTTAAAGTTTTAAATATATATATTATATATATGTATATAACTAACAAGACACGTTTTGAAGTTTTAAGTACATATATACATATATACATATGCTTAAGTTTTTAAAAATTATTTTTAATAATGAAGAATTTACTATATATATAAAAAAAGTAATCTTAGCACCGGTCTAGACTTTAGACTGTCTAGTCTATGTATCTTTGAATTTCTTTTAATAGGTTAAGAGAATCGGCCTAGAATCTTTGAAAGCCCTAAAACGGCGTTGGACTGTCTTTACATGGCGTTACACATTGTTGCTCAGTCGATTAGGCCTATACATATACATATATATACATATACATATACATATACATATACATAGTATACTAAGATAGACGTTTCGGTAGGGTTTTTTTGAACTGAACCAAAAAATACAGTATTTTTTTCGATTTGAACCGTCTAAAATTCTCGAACGGTATTATTATTAGAAAATCGAATTTCTCGTAACGGAACCGAAATGAATTATAAAAAAAATCCGAAAAACCGATTTTTTTAAGAACATCTTAAATTTTCTTAGTAAAAACTGGAACCGCCCCGATATGATATAATAACTGATTGGTATATATTTTTATAAAACTAAACAAAACTGAACTACTATTTTTAAATATAACCCAAACCGAATACCGAATCGTCCACCCTATTAACCAAACACATTTTTTACTATTTCTGTCCAAAACAAGTAAGTGCAAGGCATGTTCTCACCCTGGATTCAAATCTAAATGAACAGATAAATGCGTAAATTTTGTATGATTTCGTCGGAGAATATGGACGTGAGTGGGTCCCACCCCTACGCCTTCTGCGTAAAAAGGAAGATAGCAATGATAGCATGCACAAGCACGAGCCTACACATTTTTTTCTTCTTCTTCTTGTATAATCCATTACCCATCTTTGGAAAAGTGATAATACTATTAAGGAAAAAAAAATAACAAAAAATAAAAATAAAAAGCAATCAAAATCGTAATTTTATTTTCGGAATACACATAGATATACACACAACCTCCTAATATATACATACTCGATTAATTAACGTTAATTTTTCATTTTAAAAAAGTATATTATATTGTTCTAATTAGTTTTCGGACAAGTTCTGATCTCCTAAACTCATGCATTCTTTATGAAATTAATTTACGGCGAGATAATTATATGTGAAGAAGAAGAAAATAAAACAAAAGAAATGGCGCCAAAAAGAGGTGGTTTATGTCATGTGATGTCACTGTCCGAATGGACCAAAAATCTAAAGTTATTCAATCTGCGGGTCCCACTCTCAGATGTGCTGACTTTTTATTTTTAAAAATTTGTAAAAAAAAATAATCACTCAACTGAAATCACAATCTTCCTCTGCTTTATGTTTCTTTCCTTAATAGAATTCGCCGCTCTATAAATCTCCCCCTCCCCCTCTCTCTCTACACTTCCTATTCTTGTCCGAAGCTTTCAAGTGTCCATGCCCATATATACACACATTAGCGGGTGTTAGAGAGAGAGAGAGGGGGACACGTGGCACGTGTGTGGGAGGAGAGAGAGATGAAGGAAGGGGGTAACCGGAAACAGGGAACGGCGTCGCCGTGCGCGGCGTGCAAGCTGTTGCGGAGGAGATGCGCTCAGGACTGCGTCTTCGCTCCATATTTTCCGGCCGACGAACCTCACAAATTCGCCAACGTCCATAAGGTCTTCGGCGCCAGCAACGTCAACAAAATGCTTCAGGTATTTCAACCTCTCTCTCTCTATATATGTGTATGTATGTATATGTATGTATGTATGTATGTATGTATGTGTGCATGTATGTATATGTATGTATGTATATGTATGTATATGTATGTATATGATGGGCCAACCCAATTCGTTAGTCTTTATTTAGTGCCAATAATTTCCATGGATTTGGTTATACTGTGAAAGAATAACCTAAAAACGACAACAACCCAAAAATTTCCTTGTCGACTAGGAAAAATATTACAAAACAAATGGTTATCTTAATAATTTTTTTTTAATATAATGTATTTTGTATGATGATACATATAGATCTTTAGGTAAATCGTTTCCAAAGTGCAACATCACCTTTTTCTTTCATTAATCACTTTTTTCTTTCATTAACACATATATATATATATATATATATATATATATATATATATATAGTTGCGTTAAAGAGATGAAAATTACATCTTCAGTTTATTGCTGTCTCCTTCATGGGCTTATGATCGTTTATATTGTTGATGCCTAACACTCCGCGGCATGCATGGAACAACTTGGTATATATGTTGTTATATCTATATCTATATATATATGTACAAAAATTTAAATTCCATCTACGGTATCAAGCACTTATATATATATATATATATGTTTGTGTGTATTATTTAGACTTTATTATATATATATATATATGTGTGTGTGTGTAAGTTGTAACATAGGCTTTTTTTAGTTGTAATACTAAGGGGTTCCATCTTCATTTCCTCAACAGACGAAGATGATCATAGGATTGATCATAGATATATATATATATATATGCATGTAAAGATAACCTATCATGGGTCTCTTTTGTTGGGCTTTTAGAAAATGTTTGCATAATTGGCTATTAAATAAAATAAACAAAAATAAATATATGGATTGTTTATTTGTATGATAATCTTTTCGCACTTTGAGAGGACGTAGATTTAACATATTTATATATATATATATATATATATACACATATACATATAAAAAGACATACGCGTGCATGTCACTCATATTATATTATTAGGGTCTATTAAACAAATGGATTCCAAAATTTCCTGATGTCATTTCACAAAAGATTGAGAACCAATTATACTTGCAGTTGAAAATGCCATAATTTCGACCGACGTCCTATCGATAATGAAATTTAAAGTGCGCGTAATTAAAATATTTTAATTAACCATGATTTGATTTTATTGCAAGTGTCGTTCATGTGACTCCTCCCTATTCTAAAATAAATTCGTGTAGAAGAAAAAAGAGCCACTTGTTTAGTTAATGCATCCAATCACATATAAGATTAGTCAAATTATTTTATCATTATATATATATATATATACACACCCACACGTATATATTTTTTTCTTTTTCCTAATTCAACATAAAACAGTAAAAAGGTATGATATGGAATAAATACGAACCGAATTCATCTGACCATTGCCTTTCATTTTGATCAAGTGTTTATAAAAAAATTAGCATAAATTAGGATCCAATATCCATCTATATATATATATATATATATATATATAAAAGATCACACCTTTCTACAAAACCTAAATCTAGGTGGACGTTGCAGTTGGCGTCCTCGACTCGTATTGAACCGAAAATTTCAGAATTTTTTCCGAACCATAGCATTTAAATTTCTCAAACGGTATTTTTTATAGAACCGAATTTTCTAGAATCAAACTGAATCAAAAATTTTAAAATTCTCAAAAAATCAAAATTTTCTTAAGAAAATCTATTTTTTTTAACAAAAACCGAAACTTAAACCGAATCGAACCGAATAATATACGGTACTAATTTGGTACAAATTTTAGAATACCAAATAAATCATTTCCGCCGCTAAAATTCCGAACAGAGTTCCGGAACCGCCCATCCGTACCTAAAACCATTTAATTTTCACTTGTGGAAGTGTTTATGAAAACATTAATATATTTATTATCTAGAGAAAGATCATCATTTTTTTTTTGTTCGTCCAATCTCGAACCAGGAACTACCAATCGACAAACGAGGAGACGCGGTGAGCAGCATGGTCTACGAAGCGAACGCTAGGGTGAGAGATCCGGTGTACGGATGCGTAGGGGCAATCTCGTCACTTCAACATCAAATAGATGTTCTCCAGACACAGCTGGCCCAGGCTCAGGCCGAGGTGGTGCATCTGAAGGTGCGCCACTCGGCTGCGCCACAAGCCAATAACAAGCCGATGTTTGACCACATGGATATGGTTGACCAGGTTAGCTTGGGTGAGTCCATGTGGTCTTGCTAGTTATATATTAAATTTTCTTTCCTTTTTTGTGGGGAGGATTATTCAGTAAAGAAACTGCTGTGTGTTTTGTATACACAGGGTCAGATATTTAACATATATATATATATATACATTGTATCTATAGATATGTACGGTTTATGTATATTGTATAATCTATATATATACATGTATAAGTACTCGGGGGTACTTTTGAGGGTTTTTTTTTTGTTGTATTCGGGATTTGGTGCGAGAGCTGTGAGGAGAGTACTTTGTTTGTTTTTGACATGTATTGTAAATACTATATATATATATATATGCGTATACTTGTGATATTCGGTTGATCATGTAATGATATACTATATATTATATATATATATATATTCGCCTTTGGTTTCTTATTATAGAATTTGCGTTTGTTGTGTTATAAGAAAATATTCCACTTTATAAAATTTCTATAATGACCCGACGTGAAAAATTCAATAACAATTCCCATAGACTCATAACGGTCCAATATAGGGTAACTAACGTTTTCATGTAAATTAAGCAACACTACACAAAAGGTTATGGAAGGAAAAAAAAAAACCCTAAAGCAGCGATGGAAGAAGCTTTGATCAGACGTCCTTGACGACGAGATCACCGTTGAGGAACTCTCGGTAGGCGGCGACGGGCCAGATAAAGCCGCGGAAGAGGAGGCGGGTGGCCAATGGGACGTCGATGATGATCTCTTTCATGGCGGGTTTTTTCTCGTCGCTGATGGCTATGAGGTAGCTCCGGCCCACCCACCCGATCCATCCGGCTATGTACAGGAAGAGCAGTCCCGGCGTTATGAATTCTCCCCAATGCCGCTGGTCACCGTTCACTATCAGGTGCGGCAGCCCGTCCGACCCGCACAGCAGCCCGTATTTCCCGTAGTTGTCGAACCTGCCGGTGTAAGGGTATGATCGTAATATTGTACACGGGTTTATCGGTTAAAACGCTCGGAAAAACATTCCATGGTATGACGTTTTCTTTACGAAGAGCAAGTGTTTTTATAGGATGGTCATTTCGGCTTCGATTATTTCGGTGACACAAAAACTATAACCATTCCGTTTTTGTTTTGAATGTGGTTTGGTTCGATCCAATTTGATTTTGGATCGGTTCAGTTCGAGTTCAATTTTGGATTCGGTTTTTCCAATTTAGACAAATCACTTATGTCGGATTCACTTCGATTACGATTATACTTTATTTTGCTTGTGTCGGTTCATCTATTCGGTCATTAATGAAATTGGTCATCCTTAAAATCTGATGTTCATATTTGTATAAATTTTTCATACCAAATCAAGCTAAACCGAATCAAACCGGACTAAACCGGACTGGAATTCTGATATTCATTGCTAAGAATTTGTAGGTTACGAAAACAAAGTTGATATCTTTGTTTGGTCCTATGAACTCTTTGAAATTCTAAATTGGTAAACTAACATTCATTTTGAAAATCGAATCTGAAAAAATTCTAATAAACCGATTGATATATATTTTTATAAAACTGAAAAAATTGAACCGAACCATTTTCAAATCGAATCTGAACCGAATAGCGAAACAACCACCGCACCATATGACCTTACATAGTTACACACACATATATATATATATATATATAAAGATATATATATATATATACACAAATCGTGTGTAAATATATACACCATTTCTAGTAGCCTTCATTTGATGAGTCATAGACTCGTATGGAGAAAAATAAAATAAAAGAGTTGATTACTAATGCAGGAAATATAGAAATGTATGTATGTATGTATGTATCCTAGTAGAAATTAGCCATACATTATACTTTATTTTTTATCATGTACCTGTCTTAATCCATATGAATATCACAGTGATTTGAATATTTGGATATTTAAAACGAAAACCCAAATTAGCATATATATGTATATATATATTATCAAAACATTTGCAAGTGGGATTTGCAGATAATTATGATAGAGTTTGGGTCCTAACTCTATCCAAAACATAGCTCAAGGGTGGAGGGTTGAGCCTCCCTCATATAGAGGTCCCAGATTCCTCCCCACGGTCGATGTGGGACTCCATCACATTATAAATCAAGTTTTTTTAACATATCCATGGACTTAAGATGATGATGGTGATGATCCCCTCCACTCCAAACACAAATCACACAAGGCAAATCCAACCAAACAAACAAGATGTTACCGGGACAAGAAAATGTGTTATATATGGCTCTCTCTTGCCTAGAGATGATGAGGAGATCCACCACCCCTAAGAGCAAGAACCAGATGAAGAACAGACCCGCCTTCTATGTTGTAATCTTTCGCTGTTTTGTCATCCGCAAGCTGCTTCCCCGCGTAGATCAACCTGTAAAACCGATAACACAAACACATCCGTCCGATCATAAATCGGATAATAATGGCACGACAAGCCAACTGGTAAGGACTCCTGATTCTTGTGATAATATATATAAGATGTTTGCTCATGACATCAAGAACCCAACAGCCGAAAGCCTTCAAAGAGACAGATATAGCGAACCACAGGACAAGAACGATATAGTAGTTAAGAACAATTTGTTGGAGATGTGCATAATGGAATTGAGGGGAAGATTTTATATTTATCAAGTGTCAAAAGAGCTTTCAACATGGACACAAAGATAAACCATCCAATCCAATTGAAGCTTTATCAAGTTATTAGGGGAAAGAGGGTTTTTCCCTTTGG